AGTATTCAGTGAGAGATGGTAACTGGCTTTAAGTTAAAGAAGTATTCAGTGAGAGATGGTAACTGGCTGTGCTGCTTCTTTGACACCATCGCTCTCCTCCGTGTTTCTGAATAGGCGTCATTCTTTCACATCAGACGGGCCTCAGCTGGTGACGTGACAGACATTTTGTGTCTTGGAAAGCTGCGTTGTCTCCCAGCTCTGTGCCTCTCAGTAGATCCTGTCTCTCTCTTCCTGGTTAAAAAAATGACGGAGAGAAAGAAAAAAATCACAGTGGGGACAGATGCCAGAACAAGTCAGCTCTTCACTTGATAGTTGCCATAGTAACCTGGGTTTCTGGCAGCTTGTGTTTCATCTTCAGATAAATTATGGCAAGCTGTTGATGGAAGAAAATGTATGTTTCTTTTTTTTCTCTCTCTCTCTCTCTCTCTCTTTTTCTGAATTAGTTTCTGGCACATTTTCTTTCTCATTGTCAGAGCTTTTCCCTGAGCTGGGATGTGACTGGCATACAGAGCAGACTTTACCTTTTCAGTGTCTGTTATRGTCGTGGAAAAAGCTCTTTTCATCTCAGAGAAGCAAAGCCAACTCATTTATGATTATTGTTGGAGTCCGGGCTTCACGCTCCAAATGAATGATGTATGATTAGATGATGTATGATTAGAAATAATGTTACAGACACAGTTTTGAAACCACACAAGTAAAATACTTAGAGCTAGTTGTTTCTGTATGTTCCAGCTTGAYGCAGATACATTTAGCCCAATAAAAGCTTGGTATGGTTTTGATTAGGACTTCATATTTTGGGCRCTGGTGAACTGTTACAATCATCATTCTTTCTAATTAGCAGATCAGTTGATAATACATTTTTTTCACAGTTTAATAACATGGTGAATGAACTATATGGCACAGAATTAGTGACGAAGTTAAGACCATTGTARCAGGRGGTTATATCTATTCTGAAGCCAGTTACTGATCTGACTGATGATAGGTCTGCACTAAAAATTGAGCAGCTGGCAAATGAGGAGGAGACTACTCATGTGTTAGCRTTGGAGAGGCTAGTGACTAGCATGCCTAGGCTGCTCACCAACTTAATTAGACAAGTACCTATTTAAAAAAAGAAAGCTCTATCAAGAAAAATTATTGACGTGCGAAGTGTATAAGCAACTTGCATTGACAGTTGTTCCTTTGACAGAGTTTACTGTTATTCAGCATTAATATAAAGTGTATGCACAATGTTATGACAGAATTTGGGCTGTATAAAGTTRTATTATGAGAACTCCTACAAGTAAAGCTGTCTTACCACTGTGTTAAGATAAAAAATGTTGAGCATCCTGTGAAGTTATAGTTTGGTATCCATTTTACAAATAAGAAAATACTTGGTCTGCTGTTTGGACAAGCTGGTCATGTCAGATCTTAATAATAATTGGAGATTTTTCTCTTATAAAACAACTTTTCTTGTAATTTTATGCCTTTATTCTGGTAATATTACAACTTTATTTTGGTTTTCCTCTCAGTTAGCGGTGCAGGCCTCTCATTAATCAGATCAGTAGCTGGTTTTGGAATAGATATAGCCTCTTGCTACAAGGACATAGCCACCGCTGGGTGTGCAATAGTCCTACGTTTTGGCCAAATACCACACCATAGAACAAAAGCAAAAAATAGTTTGTATTTCAAATTATTATCCTACTGATTACCATGAAGGATTTCATTTAAAACAATATCTAAAAAGGCTTAACATTTTTACTTTTTGCACATTAGGTTAATAAATGTGAAATAGAGATCAATTCTAATGTTAACTTGGATTTGACTTTGCTTCTGAAAAATAATGCCTGCAATGTCAGTGGTGTTCTGACTGATTAAACGGCTGTTCAGGGTGAAGTTGGGTGGATGGAAACGGTGATGTCACCTCTCTAATAATAGGAATGATAAATTCCACATGTATGCCAGAAAGAGCAGCCGATCATTTTTGCTTGCACAGAGGGTTGCAAAAGTGTACACAGCCATTTTCTGTTTTATTGATTATATTTAATTTAATTGGACTTTCAGATATGTACTAAGTAATAAATGTAGATTTCTAAAGTGTTAAAATGCTCTAGATTACTGAAGTTAAATGTGTGTTGTGTGCCTAATTCCCCTCCTTTGTTTTAAAGGCCCAACCATTACCTTCAGAAAACATAATTAGTTAAATAAGATCCACCTGTGAGCAATCAAATGTCACATCACCTCAGCATGCACACCTGTTCTGTTCCATTAGAGTTAACACCTTTCATTAATAAGGGGTACCACTAGGGCTGGGTGATGTATCATGATGTCATTGTTTCATATCAGTCAAKAGAGGAGAAAAAATGCTGAGTAATACTGCCAAACTGGTGACGTGACCCTTCCTATTTCATTCACGATTTCCTCTCAATCTGTTGCACTCATTTTCTCCTCTCACTCCACRTCTTTTTTTTTCTTTTCCATTTTAAAGAGTAACTAAACCCCAAATAAACCTTCTGAAGCTCTGGCTGTCCGCTGCTTGATTTGCTGTAAAATAATGCAATCCTGTCTAAAAGCACAATTATAATTATTGTGTTTTTCATAATTATGRTTTGACATGACTTGTAAAAAGTTAAAATGCATTTTAATACATATTCCATGTGTTGGAGGACAGAGCTARTTAAGAGTTGTTTCTACTTTTTAAACTAAGCAAATCAAACTATTTACTGGTTATAGCTTCATAATTTTGAATTCACCATACAGTTAGGCCTTCAGTAATGTAAATTATATGGTGAGACGGTTGATTTTAGTTATGTTTAAGGTAACACTGAATACTGTTTACAACATGTTGGTCTTTTGTAAGTGATACTGATAAAATTACTTGCTTTTCATGTTCCGATGGGGCGAAGCTCCTCTGGCTTCCTCAGCAGGTTTCTAATCACATCCTGTTAATCTCACAGCAGAAGGCCCACTCCTCGTCGTCCTCTTCCTCTCAGTGGTCGTCTTCCTTGGCTGTGAGCCTGGCGCGATCGCAGAACCACAAAATCAGCCAGAGTTCTTCGGAGTTAGGGGAGGACGAGTCTGGCACCAGTCTCCGGGCAGCGCCCATCCGGCCCGGTCACAGCAGTCCCGGCTCTTCGCGRCTCAGTGGGAACCTCCCACTTCAAGCACAGGTGGCTCGCAGCGAGCTGAACGTCCGCCTGCCAAGAGGTGAGGAAAGATGCAGAATAAGCTGTGCTCTGTATGAGTACCTGGTATTATATACACCTTCACGTATCATTTACTCATTGTTGTACACAGAATATGCTGCTTTTTGAGAGGTTCCCATTGAAGCAGTGATTCCCAACTGGGTTTGCTAAAGATCTCGGGGGTAGTGGGGCTTTAATGGCACAGAGGTTATCAATATGTTGTGCACTTGTAGAAAATCACACAGTAAAAGGAGTGTGGGCTGCACAATCTATTAAAAATGACATTGCAAAATGTTCTATGTTGTGATATAAAAAAATACAGGAATTTTCAACTATTGGACTTTAACCCTTTAGGTTCTGCTGCCATCTTGTTGACAATGAACCTGCACCAATATAAACTCTTTTTTTTGCATGTTGCAAATATGTTTTTTGACTGTATTTGAGTTATTCATATTGTCTTTTATTTCTTGCTTTTATTGTGCTGGGACCTGAGTACATGTTTCCTTCTATCATTTGCAAACGTGAATTGTGTTTTACCAAAAACGAGAGAGAGACAAACAACCATTCACTCTCTCACTCACACCTAGGGACAATTTAGAGTTACCATTTAGCCTGACAGTCATGTTTTTGGTCTGTGGGAGGAAATTTGAGTACCGGAAAAAAAACCATGCATGCACGGAGAGAACATGCAAACTCTTCCTCAGAAAGATCCCAGCAGTTTTTTTTTTACCTCCTGCTTTATATTAGCATTCATGCCAGAGATGTGCGCAAGTCTTTTTTTGCAAGTCCAAGTCAAGTCTAAGTCTCTAATATTAGGGACTTAAGTGCGACTCAAGTCTAAATCAGTCACGAGTCCCCATCTCTGACTCATGCTAACCATAAGTTACTGTTTTTCCTCCAGTTCTCTGCAAATTTGCTCATCTTCATCCTTTCATCAAGATCGACATTTACAAGCTACACATCAGATAAAAAAATAAGTCTGGTGGACCTGTGTTTCTTTTACTCCTTAATATGCAACATGTAGCGGGAGGAAACAATGTTTTTACCTATGTTGACATAATTATGAGAGATGTCACAGTAATACACTTCCCATCATACCTTAGCTGTTTGGAACTCACATCTTCAACCTGATTTAGAATAAAGGGGAAAACGAGTTCCAAGAAAATGACAAAAAGGTTTGGATTGTAAACGACTGAGCTGTAGGACTCTGTCAGAGAAGCTGCCAACAGGCCTACAGCAACAAAGAAGGAGCTKCAGGAAGTTCTGACAAGTACAGATTGTGTTCTACATCTGACAGCAGTCTCCTGTGTTACTAATATGTCTGGAAAATGGGATGGGAAGCCTTGATTTTATAAAGCAAAACATTCAGGCTTGGCTAAATATTGCCAAAGAACATACAAAGTCTCCCAAAGGTCTGTGAGAAAATGTGTCACTGCCTGATGAGCTCAAAGTTGAAGTTCTACAACTGGTGCAAGAACACGGACTGGATCATCAAAAAAAACACCATGCCACAGTGAAGCATGGTGGTGGCAGCATCATGCTGTGAGGTAGCTTTTCTTTAGTTGGAACTGGGGTTTTAGTCAAGGTTAGAGATGTGATGTTCGTGAACAATCCGAGTCTTTTGAACGGCTCTTTACAACGAACGACAGGAGCCGAATCGCGGGCAGTAACGAGCCATTTGCAGTTTTATTTCTTTTATTCCTCATATAATCTTAATTTTTTTCTTATTTAAATTGCTCCCACTTTGCTTTTTCACAGAAAACAGAAGGAGTTGTGGCGTACAGAAGCTCACGGTGAAAGGGGGAGGGGGGTTTCCACCCACGTGACAGGATTACGTCATTACGTACGGCTACATGATGACGTATTTCCCTACGTGATGACGAATACGTTCAAAATTGAACGTCTCTTTTGAACGGCTCTATGAAACAAACGGCTCCCCAAGATCCGAATACCTTCGAAGAGCCATTTATCCCATCTCTAGTCAAGGTGGAATGGAAGGATGAACAGATCCAAATATGTTTATCAGTGGTGGGCAGCGCCAAATTAAATTTTAGTTACACAATTTCTAAAGTGCTAGTCAATTTATTTAGGTCCACAAGTTCAAAAGCACATATGCTCAACAAAACTTAGCGGAAGCTAATATAAAGTGCAACATAATCTCCATTTACCAGAAAACATCCAGGGAAGAGAGAGTCAGCACTTTACTGTCATCTAGTGGTAAGACCTTTTTTTTTTGACGGATTGGCACATATCRGCGCAGAATGGGGAGGTGATTCATAGAAACAGACTTTTAAATCATGGTTGTAAAACAAAAAATAGTTGTGGATTGCTAGTTCTGCTGCTTCTTGGTCATTTTCTTATGTTTATGGCAGGGCTTCGGTAAGAAAACATGCAGATATATTAGTAATTTTAAACAGTTTGTTGTAAAACTGAAGCAATGCATTCTGGGTAGGCTACAGGACACAGAACAGGAACTCTGTTCTTTTCAAAATAAGAGCGTGAATTTAAATTGTTCCATGTTTTTTTCTTTACTATGTATTTATTTAATATTTATTACCGCGGTGTCCCTCGGAGAGGAGGTACAAACTGTACAGCTGTGTGCTTCTGCAGATCAGAACTGCAGGTGGATTGTCACCCAGTGAAGAAATTTTAATTGCTTCCTGCCACGCAAAGAATTGTGGGAACACTACAGTCTCTACTAAGTGAAAATCATCAGAGAAGAGTCAGAAGTCAGAGTATGAAGCTCTGTGAACACAATGCTGACTGAGGGGTCGCTGTTTCCTCACAGTGAAGATACATTGTGTTWAGTAGAGATGGCTTTCCCCTCCAATGTTCAAGAATATCATGACGAAGTTTTAATGTATTATGTGGCTACAAAACRTAGTGAGACTAGACRACTYTTTCTCTATACTGTAGACGAAATTGACGTTTGAATGTGAAACATTATTTGCAATTAGCGCTACACAAATCTAAATTTAGAAAGCGCAAATCTGCACATCATTTTAGGAAATTAGTAAAACCCCTAAAGGGCAAAGAAGAAATTGAGGGCCGCAATTAGTGCATTTGTGCTTTAGGGGACTAGTGYCCACCACTGCTGTTTATTYTTTTGTTCCAAATCAGAAGAATGGCTTCACCTGAAGAAGATGAATATTTTGAAACAGCTGCCTAGAGATAAAACCTGAGTTTGATTGACCAAAATCTGTTTGGTGACCTGAAGAGAGCTGCGTACAGGAGACAAACTTACAGTCTGAGCAAGCAAGAATTGAGTCCTTTAACAAGAAAGAGTGGGCAGATAAGTCAAGATATGGCTGCTAAGACTGAAGGCTGTAATTAAATCAGACTGCTTCAACTGAACTCATTAAGGTCTGGCTCTTTAACAGGGGTTGTGGACTTTTTGTATCCACTGATTTGTGAGTGATCCTCCACAAAGTGTTGGAATGCAGTWAGACTGTTTGTCGCCTCTTCCAAAGGTTTTGAGCGACGGCCTTTGAAGCACCCGTCATGCCCAGATGGAGCAGAAAGGGACAGCGGCACTCCAAAGCCCCCACGCACAGGCACCATCCCCGCCCTGGTGCCCAAACCGCCCTCCTACCCTCTGGTCAAACTGGTGGGCAAATTCTACACCCTGAAGTGCCGGTGAGTAAAACATGAGTCTTTTTTCTTTAGGGCTCAAAGAAAAATATTCTCAAGTTCTTAACCCTTGAAATTTAGCATCTCTAATAGAACTGTTGGGTTTTAAAAAGCCACTTTAATCCCTGCCTTCAGCTCCTGCCAAGATATTCTCCTCTTGTCCTGCCTAATGGGGAACAGTGAGAACCATTTGGGATTTTCGAACTTTAAAGAGGGTTTAAATTCTGATGTAACTGCAAAAKAAATGTTGGACAGAATCAYCATTTCCCAAGAAAGACGCTGACCTAACAGTAAAAACAAATTGTATGCAGTGTCTGTGTAGGACACTTTACTAGAGCCACAGTAGATATCGCAGTCTTTTGGTATAATTCCTGATTAAGGGTGCCAGAAATGCAATCTTCACTTTCTAACACCATTTGTAATTTCCTGCCCCTGTGGAACAAACCCTTCAAAAATACATTGTGCAGTTCAGTCATTAATAGTGTATTGTGATATTTACTATCAGTAATGTGCATTGTAGACTAAATTTAAGTAAAAGACTTCAAAAAGGTTTCCACACATAAGTCTTAAAGAAACAAGGAGCTCTCTCTGCTCCAGTGTCCTATTAAAAATCACTGTAGACAAAGGAGTCGACATGTGTAACAACTTTTTCTTTTTTCAACTGGAATGGCCCATTTTTTTTCTTTCATACTTTTTTTAGCACGTAACTTGTTAGAATTTTTGTGCCATTTCAAAAATTTGTTTATCAAAGCGTTTAGCTCATTAATGCCATGGGTGCTATGACTTTTGGTATTTCAGTATTTTCTACTTTTTCAGTTATTTAGCTTTTTTTGGCCATGTTTCCAATTCCTTAAAACCCTAAAAAAATCTTTTCTGCACTTTTACTTTTTCCTCTGGTTCTGCTTCTTTATGCTAATTCAAACCTTTTTGGGCTTTTTTATTGCTAATTTTAGTTATTTTCCCCTGTTATTTCAGCTGTCTTTCTGCGATTCTGCTAATTTCAACTTTTTTCTTTCTGCTTTTTCTGATAATTTAAGCCATTTTGTAGCCTTTTAGGCTGATTTCTTACTGCTTAATTCAGCAAAAAAAAAATTTCTGCTTTTGCTCTATTTTTGCTTTTCAGATATTTTAGGTTTTTGTACTTTCCTAATTTTTTTCTTTTCATATAAGCTTTTTTACTGTCCTTTTAACCATCTTTCTGTTAAATTCAGSTTGTTTATATTTTTGGCTACATTTCAGCATTAGCATTTTTTAATGAGCCACTGGCAGCAGCTTTACCATTTTGGTTCTTTACACATTTCTTATGCAATTTATTCATTATTCTGCCAGTTTARATTATTACAAACAGATGACCCAAATTACTGTTGGGTTTTAGAGAAGAAAGWTGCTCAGTGAAGGAATTTCTGGCAGCAGCTACTTGAAATTTTCTAGCGGACCCCCGTTCTTCTTTCTGCACCAGGTTCTGCGAGGTGGAGTTCCACGGCCCGCTGTCGGTGCAGGAGGACTGGATCAGACACCTCCAGCAGCACATCCTCAAGATGAACTACAGCAAGTCGGCTGCTTCCAAAGCCACTCCCGCTGAGCCCCCGAGCTCGGCTGATGACCCGGCCCCGGCCTCCATCCCTACCTCCAGGACCACCTCCACCCCGACCCGCTCCACGGCCCCCAGCAGCCGCTCCCCTTCGCCTCCGGCCGAGTGTGCTCCTGCCATAACTGCCACAGAAATAGAGCAGGTCCCAGAGGAGAAGCCCGCCATAATGTCAGCCCCCATCCCTGTCCCCCCTCAGATAGTCTAAGCTCCAGCTCGTCGCCCACTGTCGTAATTCCACCACTTTCCTTCCTTTGACCTTCACTAAGTGTCATTCAGGAGGAGCGTTGTTCATCTAAAGAGCCCTCTGAGCCCTGAGCATCTTTGAAGCAGCTCTGGACTGTTTTGAAGTCCCGTTACCATGGGAACAAAATCGTCCTGGCTTATCAGTGGATTGGGGGTGGATGATTATAGGAAGTGTCCAAGGTTATGAGGAGAGCGTTAGTAATGTTTTGTGTTTGCCTTGTTTATATTGAATGTTCAGACATTACTGTACCTCCCCTGACCCGTGGGAGATTAAGAAGCTAATGAACCCTTTATGAAACAGTAAGCCCCCTGTCGACCCCCCCATGTCCCCTCATGAACGAGACTTGTGAGACAGCGACCCTTTCTACCAGCACACCGGTTCTATTGGCTTCAGCCTTTTCAAGTTCCTCAGTGAGATTTTAAAGGACATGTCTAATCACATCAGTCTCGAGGTTGAGACTTTAAACGTGTGGTAACACTTAGTGTTAACAAAGGCACTTTTTAATTTTGACATTGTCACTCAGCACTTAACAAAAAAGTGCAACTTCAATGGCTTAAGGAGGAAGTCTATTTCCAATCGGAGCAAGCAGCAGAAGCACAGCCTGAACCTTTTGAATCCAACACCGTTCCCCAGATCTCCATACATTTAGCTTGAATGTAGCAGGAAGCATCTGCTCTCACTCGAAGACACTCGGACACAATCAGACTTTCGCCCTGGGCTCAGACGCCACTGATAGTTGGCCCGGTTGATTACTGCTCCACAGCTGCTGTTATGTTGAAGACATTTCACTTCCTCCACTCACAGTTGCCATTTTCTTCCTGCCTTCTTTTGTAAATGTAACCCAAATATTTTGTTTATTATGTTACACCTGAATGTGGTAAGTTAGTTGTTTTTAAAAGCYAAGCTATAACTTAGGAGTGTTTTGAAAACAGTATGTGTGTTAGGTTTTCATAGCAAATTCCCATTTTTATTCAAGAAAAAGGTTTTAGTAAACCTGCTTAATGAAAAGACACTTTCTGTCTACACTACAAGTATTTATTATAATAGTCTTTTCTCCATCCTCAATTCTAACAAAAAGATTAAATACCTTCGATGTGCCACTAGGTGGCAAAAACACCTTATTCYAGAGCAATTCAACAGGTGGTCCACAGGCGGGTGACTTCAGTCTGGCCCATCAATGAGTTCGTTGAAATTTTTTATTTATTATTTTTTTCCAGATTTGAATAACAAATATTTCAGTCAATGTGGCAATCCTGTTTTATAAGTGAATGACAATACGATATTTCTCTTTCACAAAGCCTGCTGTGATTTGATTTCAGTTCAGTTCATGAGTCTGTAATTGTTATGATGCGATGTCGTATGCCCAATAGGCTTGGGCATTGAATTACTGTATTGAAATATGGTGACRGCATTTAAAAATTATGACGCTATTAGTCATGTGTGGTGATGCCACAAATTTCCACAAGTTGGCTATGAAATCTGGGAGATAGGCTCTTTCAGAAGACAGTATAGCTTAAATGCCTGAACAGCCCATAACCTGTTGATGCTCCCTTTGGCTATTTAGAAGTCACGGACAGAGACGTTCTGTAACCGTGCTCTAACGCGTTTTCAGAGAGCAATTATCAGTGCGGGATCGAGAGAGGCATGGAAAATAATCTGACTCTTACCACGGTTGTAACCATGCTGCTGCATTCTTTTAGCCAGTCTTTGTGCCGATAAAGTTTACAGTTATTTYCTCCTCAACAGCAAGAAGTAGTGGGTCTTGGTAGGAAACAAAAACAAAGTTTAAATTCAAAGTGAGTCCAGCTATAGTGGTTTGACATAAAAAAAAAAGCCTGCGGCTGGGTGGTCAGCACTACGCTGGCCCAATTTTCAGGAGTCTGCGAGTAACATTTCTGTCACTGCCTCACACTAATTAGGTGGCGCGACAGAACACACGCCAGTAACGTTATGGGGCGTCTTCTGAAAGAGCCTAAGACATTCTGTGAAGCCATAATAGAGCAGTGGGTGTTAAATTTCAGGTCATCATGTGCGTCATATAAATGCTTCAAAAMGTCATGTTTGTCCTCTAACATTTTCACTGATCTTTAGCTCAAGTTATATGCATAGAAATGCTCACAAGCAGCCATTTCTCTGTTGATAATTAATACTCAACACGCCACAGACCATACAACCCCACCCCCCACACGCCCCACTCCTTTCCACTCTGCCTAGGAAATACTGTATGCCGCAGTATTMAGATATGTCGGTATGAAAAAGCTCAATACCTCCCAACCCTAATGCTCATCTAACACAATCATTTTGTAAGTGATTGTGTTAGATGGGCATATGTTGATGATGTGGATTGATGTTCTCTTTTTGCCTCARTGTAATTTCATCATTAACCATTTAATCAATGAATCGATGTGGATAGATGTATTGTTACACCCCTAATCTAGGACAGGGCTATACAACTCAGTCTGACTGCTGATGTCTTTATTTAATCTAAAAATAGATTTTAAATCATAAAAAGAAATATTTTTGATTTTATTTGAAATCTCATTGATTTTAAATTAGACKTAAAAATAATCATGTAGACTGCGTTTAATTGCTAGTTGTCCCACCCCTGAGTTGTTGGCTTTCAGTAGCTCTGCCCCTATGAGCAGTTTGGTTGAATAGCCCTGCCATATTCATTTTTATCCTAGCTAAAGATTGTTTCAAAAGATGTCCAATTCTTTTTGGGTTTATTTATTTGTTATATGTTTAGGTGAGAAGAAAATGTAAACACATAACAGGCAACAGGATCAGGATAAAGTGAGACACTTGCAGTGGAGGGCACAGTTCTGCTAATCCGCTAACAGTAGAACTAGCTTTTCATTTAGCAATGTAGCCTTTCTAGCTATTTCTGAGTACCGTTAGTGGACCATTTAGCTTCCACTAAATTGGCTCCTGCTAATTTTAAGTCCACTAAAAAAAATTCACAAGTTGTAAAACTGTATTTTTAGGCCATTTATCCCAAAATAATTAAAACTATCAAGCACCGTGTGTTTGCATGTAGAATTTTTAGAGTGTCAAAAAGTAACGAAATAACATTTAAAGGGGCAATATCATGTAAAATTAACTTTTTTGAGTTTTATATCATGTTATAATGTTATCCTCTCATCAAAAACATGCCCAAAGTCTTGCTTTGACTCATTCATGCATATTTGAGAAATCCTGTGCTGTCCTGAGGCAGCCAGGCAGGGGAGCAAAAACAACCAATTGGGACTAGAACCACCTTTTGGGCTCAGCTCCTCCTCTGGGCTGTGTCTCCAAGCCGAGCTTCCTCATCACAGAGCACACACACTCAGCCCGCCCATGCTGAAATGGGCGGGACAGAAGCAGAAGGAGGTTCTTAAAGAGACAGAGGCCAATTTCAAGGTGTTTAGAAACAGCTATGATGAGAAGTCAAGTTTATTTTCTATTTAAACATATAAACAACATTTTAATAACAACTGAAAGTGACATTATTACTTTTATTATGGTACAGAATTTAAATATATGCCTGAGAAACATAATATTGCTCCTTTAATCATATTTAAATCATGCGTACTAAAAATGACAGTGTATACAAAAATGGTAGAGACWATATTTGCTGTGTGTTTTATTTATAAAAATACAAACTCGGTCAAAGAAATGCTTTTATTCTGAAAGGGTTACACTGGAAGTATCACAACCTAAATTTATAACTGGTTTGGATTGGCCGATTTTCTACAAATGATCCCACCCTCCTACAAATCAAACTAATAAACAGGTTTGCATCWGTCCCGATAACTGTTTTAGCGGTTTGGCTTTAGCAGAGCTAAGATTCTTGTTTAGCAGATTAGTGGTTAGTGAACCGTACCTTTTAGTTAGCTGTGCCCACCACTGGACAGATATGAAACAAAACACTAAAATAAGGATCATTCTTGTTTTGAGTCCACACTAAAACACCAAAAATTCACTTTGTGTGTGGACAGGAGGCACAAACATGGTACAAAAATCTGTTTTAAAAAGTATCCATTGTGCTTTTGGTGGCCTCGAATTGAACAAAAGTGTGAGCCCGTCTGTTTTAAGGACTTTAAATGCATCCTGTGGTGTTGGGACGTGCCAAAGAGTCCGTTTACTTCCATGTCCTGCCTCGGTAAAAGCTGTTTACATTGGACCTGATGGGAGAGGAAACTCGCTCCGAGTTCCTGCTGGTTGAAAGACTCGTGGTTTGGACGCTGTGTTGGGGGGTCATATTATCACATCTTAAAMCTGAACGAAAAACCAAACCAGAGTTTAGAAACACCCTAAAGCTGAAGTTTGAGCTGATTTTTATCTTTCTTTTRCATCACTGTGTTTACCCACATTTGTTCCAATGTTGCTCATGCCTAAAACATGACTGTTCAATCCAAATCCCCTCTTCTGTTATGGATTATACAAACTATAACATATACTTAAAGAAGACTGCTGGTGCTAATAGAGCTGTCAGCATTTCTGTTAGAGAGGTAGTTAAAGAATAAGTGATCTTAATTCTTTTGTTGTGATTTAATTCAACATTTGATGCTTTGTATTTTTCTTGCTCTGTGCGTTTCTGTATTGGCAGTCCTGAAAGGTGAATCTTAGAGTACTTGTTTTCTTTTTTTACTTGTTAGTTCCTCTGAGCTGAGACTTCAGTGCTGGTGGAGATGTTCCAGGTCCATCAAGTGGCAGAACTTTTTATTTTATTATTATTAAATATTTTTTGGTCCTGGTATCAAAAAGCAGACTTTTAACAGGGACCACTTAGAAAGATGAGGCACGAGCCTCCCTGTCTGTGTTTTCACAGACCACCTGAAGAGCTGTTTGAGCGGCGAGAGGAGGAGGACGAAGCCTCGGCTGGTGCGACCTGCTGTCCTGTGTGCAGGCGTGTGTGTGTATGTGCGTGTGTTCTTGTACGAGTGTGTTATTAGAACAGCGACAGTTGAGAGGAGAAAGGTGCAGTTGGGGAACAAACTGTACTGTACACAAAAGGGTCAAGTTTTAAGTGAATCGACTTCAGAACAAACAATAAATGTGATTTTGATTTCATACATGGCATCATTGTCTTTTTTGTACCGTTACAGCACATCAAGACTTCTGAGTGGAGTTGGTTTAGACCACTAGGTGGCGCTATAGTACAAACACTGACTTCAATAGTAATTTGAAATAGACTTGGCACACATTCAGGGCTAAATGTCTGCTTAGGTACTTAGTTGACTGTGCTGTAAAATTCCTTTTAGCTAAACTGCAGTGCAAATAATTAACTGGTTATCAAGAACTAAAAGTGTATAATAAAGTACATTTGCTTTGTTACAGTACCTAAGAAAACTTAAGGATCTGTAATTTTGCCAAGTATTTTTTTAAATTGGTATCTTTCATTTTTTTTTACATTTAAAACAAAAATAATTTTCCTTTAAAATTTACCACCATATTGCACACTACAAATTTCAATATGACTGAACTCCTAATGAAAGGAGTTGTTTATGCACTCTGAAAAAATAAAGTGTTGAATTTACTTAACATGCATAAATAAGTGCTAGTACTAAATAAACTGAGTTGAGCAACTTGCTCAGCTTGGTTAAGTAAATTCAACACTTCACCTAGTGTATGTAAAAGTACTTTTACCTTCCCAATTACTGTGAGAAGTTCTATGACTTTTAAGTACTTTTCTTTACATGAAACTCATTTTTACCAAAGTCATTTTCTGTTGAGGTATTTTTACTTTTACGTAGTTGTTTTTTTTATTTTATTTTATTTCAAGTATTTTATATACCTCTGTCTTGAATAGAGCAATGG